GGCATGGAATCTGGAGTTAAAGGCAGCAGAAATTCCTGCATTTTCTGATATGGAATCTGGAGTTAAAGGCAGCAGAAATTCCTGCATTCTGGCAGGGAATTTGGAATTAAACTCATGGAGAAAGCCAGTTTTCCACCCGAGTGTGGTGCCTTCGGTCTGGAAGAAACACAAACAACTCATGAAACCCTCCAAGTGTCCCGGCAGGAAAAGCAAACACTGGAACAGCCAGAAAGCTCCGGGAATCACCTCCAAGACTGGGCAGGTTTGGGGGCAGGATAAGTTCCAAAGGCTCCATGGGAATGGGCTTTGCTCCACCACCATCAGGACCTGCAGCCAACCCCAAAATCCCTTCTCGGGGTTTTCCGGTCCCACCTGCCGGGCCTTGAATTCTCCAGCTGGGCTTCCTGGCCTTTCCTTCCCTAAAAAAACTGCTGAGGGAGCAGAACAGATCCCTGGGAACCGCTGAGGGAGCAGAACAGATCCCGGAGAACCAACGGGGCGTGGAACGAGCACGTGGGAATGGAGTGGAGGAGAATTCCGGAGGGGTTTGGCAGCTAAAAGCGCTCCTTGGGCTCGCTGAGCTTCCTCCTCTTGGGCAGCACGTCCTGGCTGGAGGAGAGCTCGGCCTGGTGCACCTGGCAGGGAGAATTCCAAGTGGGAATTAGGAGCGGGAATTACGGGGGATCCACGTGGCTGGAATGGGAACAGCCCACCCCGAGCAGGACAGAGCAGCACCCAGGGGTGCTGAGCCCAAAGGAACGGCTGGGAAAGGTGCTCTGGGAGAAGTGAGGGATTGAAGGAGGGTTGGGATGTGTCCCTGCTGGGATGGTTCCTGTTGGGATGTGTCCCTGTTGGGATGTTGGGATGTGTCCTGTTGGGATGTGTCCCTGTTGGGATGGTTCCTGTTGGGATGTGTCCCTGCTGGGATGTTGGGATGTGTCCCTGCTGGAATGTTGGGATGTGTCCCTGCTGGGATGTGTCTCTGTTGGGATGTTTCCTGCTGGGATTTGTCCCTGTTGGGATGTTGGGATGTGTCCCTGTTGGGATGTGTTCCTGTTGGGATGTGTTCCTGTTGGGATGTGTCCCTGTTGGGATGTTGGGATGTGTCCTGTTGGGATGTGTCCCTGTTGGGATGTGTTCCTGTTGGGATGTGTCCCTGTTGGGATGTGTCCCTGTTGGGATGTTGGG